TATGCTGCCGTTGCCCAGGTTTGAGATGCCCGCTCCGTACGCACGGTCGCGCTTGCCAGTGGAACCAGCGGAACTGCTGGGACCTGCGCCAGAGCTGCGGGAGGAGTTCGGCAGCCGGCCCGAGCACTTTCAGGACCCTTGCTTGAGTCGGTGATGGCGAACAGGGGTATTGCTTTCAGAGGGCCTGTAATCCAAATGTGCATCAGTTGCTGAATAATCTGGTACCAGGGTTAAATGTCTCCAAGCCGCCATGGTCGATCAGTAAAACTTGGAGGAGCAATGTCCTTCCATTTGAATCCATTTTTGATCGGCACCGTGATTTTGTTGCCACAGGACCCGTTGCCCTCACTGCCAGCGCCAACAGCTCCGGTGCCAAGGTGAGAGATGAAGGGACGCCGAATGGGGTAATTCAGACCATGGTGCTACGACGTTCTATGCTCAAGCTGTGCGGGCCCATGCTAGTTGAACAAGTGCACACTGGAGGGGGCACTCAGCCATCAAGGATTATCAAGGCGAAGAGCGCAGGCAAATTTGAATCCGTGTTGCAGTTCGTAGAATATGTTTTTTTGTCACAAAGGGACGTACGTGGCACTTGAAGCCATGGCCATGGTCTTGCTTTCTGGTTTGCTTGGCCGCAGGTGGCTAGAGCAAGGCCGGGCGCCACTGCCGGGAAGGCCAAACGAGTTGGTCAAAACAGCTTCTTGGCTGCAGGGAGGGAGTCACCTGCATTTGCTGCGGACCTCTCTGAGAGCCTTGGCCATCTCTGGGTTCTTGAAAGGCCGACTGTTGCGTGTTCTAGGGTTAAGTTGCTGGCTGCAGGGTATGATCGGTGATCAGAAATTATGCAGTCCAGGATCCACATCATAGGGCCAGCAACCAGGTTTCACTGAAAGGTGGAGGCCAAGGGTCCGATCAATTCCAAGGCACCAGACAGTTCATGTCCTGCATGCTGAGCCCCTGAGGTCGTCTCCGAGCTTGACCGCTTTGAGCTTGCCCATCCCGACGCCCAGGACGGATGAGCAATGATAGAGTCAGTACGGGTCTTGTTCTACATCCCTCATTAAGCAAATGCTTCCTTTTGGCCCCACACCATGATAACAGGGGTGGGGGTGATCATGTTTTGAGTGGAGAGCGCGAGCGCAGGTGCCAGAGTCCCCACGGAGCGAGGCGGAGGTCGCCTGACCCGCTGCAGCAAACAACATGCCTTCACATCAGCCCAAACATGGAATACGGGTATGTCCCAACTTTGCGGATTCACCAAATGCTTGACAATTATTCCTTTCGTCTCCCATGAATGAAAGGGGGTACTAACACCTACGGGTCACTGTCGACTGTTGCGGCGAGCTTCTTCCGAACCATCCTCATATCCATCCTTACATCCATCCATGCATCCACGAATCCATGAATCCATGCATGTGCTTGCTCGTCAGAGGGCTCTAAACATGTGGGGGACTCCTTGAGGTAGTGGGATCAGGGAGTTCTGGTCGTATTAGGCTTGGCGCCTGCATACCCAGTGTCTCACCCAGCTCACGAAAAGCCGAAACGCGGCTGAAGCGCAGCGAAAGCAGCATGCACGTGAGAGTTTCCGTAAACAAGGCCTGTGGCGCGAGGAAGGCGTTTGGATGGAAGTTGCCGTCAGTGCTTTCAGCCCTCAGGGCCTGCAAGCTCTGTAGTCACTGATTGCCGGATTGATGATCAGAATGAGCTGGATGGAGCCATCGGCCTTGAAGTGCCCTTGCCGCCGTGTTTCTGTCAAGACTTCGAAAGGGCGCTCCAGGAAGCAGCTGTCCTGTGAAGCAGGCGGGTTGCCCCGCACTGTTTGGCCGGCTGGCTTGGCACAGTGTCACAGACGTGCTGCTTGGAGGCAGGTGATGGAGCAGGAGAGGGCGAACGCCGACCAAGTCGCCCAGAGTTGAAGTTGCACGGAGGGCAAGCTTTGGTTTTGATTTTCATGTTGCAACCTGGTTCTGGCGTGGTTGATGCGTCCCGCGAGCCGGCTGCACATCAGGAAGGACATACTTGGGTTTGCTTGCATCACCGAGGGTGTCAGTGCCAGTTCGCAGGATCGGATCTCGCAGCTGGTGATTGGTATATTCAAGCGCCGCACCTGGCAGCCTTATAGCCAAACACATGCGGTCCACTTGAGAGCGTGAAGCCCCGCAGTTGGAGGCACCTTTGTTCCTTTCCCTGCGCTGGCGGTTAATTTCCCTTGTGGGCTTCGGGTTTCCCTTGGGATTCAAGCAGCCGGCAAATGATGTCCTTTGGCCACTTGGGAAGCAAGGCCCGCTCATGAGCACATGATGAATTCGTTTGAGTTCTGAGAGGGCACTGCGACTTGTGCCTTTGTGGCTCCCGACTTGAAGCGTACCATACTGACGAACCATGACAAAAGTGCAAGCCTTTCAAATCCAGCATCCGCAATTCGCACACGTGAGTCCTATGTCCTAGACCCCATGCGCACAAGAGAACGCCTTCTGCAGACCCCTTGGCAGGTGAAGTGTGCGACGAGGTAAGAGGCTGAGGCAACAGTTTTCAGCAGGTCAGCATTTCGCACATGATGCCTTCGCGTGCTTGAACCTGCCGTGACGCAGGCCGGCCGTTTGGGGCTCGGACTCGGCCTGCCTTGTTTTCTTGGCAACCCTTGTTTTGGTCATTCTGAGGGGGTGGAAAGGAATCCTGGCAACCCTGGCAATCAGGAGGGATTTCGTTGCCCCCCCCCCCCTCAAAAAAGAAAAAGAAAAGCAAGCCGGCAGAACGCGGTTTATAACGCAACCCGGGCAGGAGTTTCCATGGCTACCGTGCGGCGCATGGAGCCGCCGCGAATGGAGCCGGCCACGAGGTTGGGCTAGGGCCTCATCCGTTAAAGGCACAAAACACAAAAAACAACGTGTTGTGAGGACGCCGCACATTTCATTCCCGGGCAGACTCGCATGCAATCCGAAGGCACATCGTTTGGTAGGTAAGCCTGCAAACCCCAGAGCCATCATGTGGGCATGAGAGCTTGCTTCTTACGGCGCTGCTATCGCTAGTACTACCGCTACTCGACTGCTACTGCTACTTCTGCTGCCACTGCCGCCGCTACGAAGCGGCATCATTGCACAATTGTTAATGATTCATGCAGTCTCTTTTTTGTGCCTTGGAGATGCGGGGGTGGCAGAGCTGAACTTAAGTAACGCATCGTGTCTCAACCGACGGCTTCCCTTCGGGCCAGTTGCCCGAGTCCAAGAGGTCTGCCTCTTGTGTCCCGAGGCTCCGGAGCGCTGCGGACAAACAGCCGTAGCCCAAAGACGGTGGCTTCTGGGGGTTGTGGGTGCACCCTTTTGATCTTTTGGGTTGGACTCTGATTTGTTGGGAAAGCCAACCGCTTTCTTGACAATGAACCAATTAATTTGATTGCATAATCAAATATGTCTTCGCTATTGATAGGTTCATGAATTTGGTTGGTTGTATATGTGCTTTTTTGCCTGCCTTCCTGCCTGCCTTGCTTGGTTGCTTGAATTTGCTATGTTGAACCTCAATTCACAACTTGGGGGGGGGCACCAGGGAAGTATGCAGCCAAGGCTACTTCCCAGAGGTGAGAAGGCAGGAGTACATCAGCTTCAGCGGCAGCAGGCGAGGTGGAGGGCTTCACCTGGTAGCTACCAGGTGAAGCCATACGTCAGGGTATGCTTCCTGTGGTGGGTTGAAGATTTGAAGGTGCTTTCGGGTGGGGATATGTATATTATATATATACACCGACATATATGCTCATGGCTGGGCTGGGGCACATGGGCTGGGGCACATGTGCTGGGAACAGACCTGTGCTTGGCCACTTTCGGGAATCGTTGCGACGCATAACTCCACAAGCCTTTTGCACTCCCCCAACTTCATATTTTGGTGGTCATTTTATGTGCGGATTGGTGGCTCGGAGTGATTGGAGTCCATTTATGTAAGTCCATACAGTTGATTCTCTGAGGAGAGGTTCTTGGCCCGATTTGACTTTCTTTCAGTCGTGTTCTTTGATAGTTGTTGCTGCGGGAAAAGCTATCTTCTAAGCAGCTGGGTCACAAGCCAAGCGCAGGCCTCCCGAGCAGCAGCCCCTCTTAGCTAGAACCTCCAGCGCTCGGGTGCTCCGATCTTGGTCTCAGCCACCCGTGAGGCGCCTTCCGGCTTTCGACAAAGGGGGGCGGGGGCCTTGACTCCTCAAGTGCAATGGGGACCATGCAGAGCTCCTGTCTTGAGCGATGATTTGTGGTTTTCTTTAGGGATGAGGATCGAGCAGGAAGACAGGTGTGCGTAGAGGTTCGGAATGTCCTTTGACCTTCAACTTCGTTTCCGAATGTTATCTTCTTGGCATAAACGATGGCAAGAATTCACACACATACACGCGTCAGGCATTGTATGATATTGGGTGTTCTTTTGAATGTCAACCATTGCCTCAAGTTGAGCAACAGGACAGAGACACAAACAAAAGGAAACTTGGCCGCCACTCTGCAAACACCCCACTTTGTCACTTGTTTACATGTTGGCTCGATGCCAGGTATGTGCCAGCGGGGCTCTCAGCCTGGGACGAAGACAGAAGGTTTGGCCAGACACTTTGGTAACTCTTTTCGGTGGCCCGATTTTGTCAGACGTGTTTTTCCAACACCTCGGACTTTTTTGCCCAGATTGGCACCACAAGCCAGCCCATCCAGCGGGCGAGCATCGATGCAGGCCCTCCCTGGCTGCACTGCCTTGGCTGTCATGACTTGCATGGCTGCTGCTTCAATGTTTGCAATTTTGGTTTGGGGCTTCGCCCTAAGCCCCGCATTGCCAAATGCTTGTGATTGTTCTTTGCTGTTGCTCAAGCTGAGTGGTGACTATGAGGGGGCAAGTCGGCAGTTTCAGCCTGAGCCCTGAGTTCGAGCAAGCAGTGCAAAGTGCCTCGCGAAACAAAGGAGATCCAGCCCATGAGGCATGCAGAGCCTACAAGGCCTACAAGGTTTCCTGCCTATTTGATGTGAGCTGATTGAGTGCATGCCATGGCCGGGTCTCGCGGATCCCCAATGCGCCTCTCGGAGAATGTGCTCCCGATCGACATCCAGCAAGCGGTGGAGCAAGCGCTGCAAAGACTGCTGCCAGCGCACTTGGACCGTCTCCTTCCGCTGCATTTGGAGGAGCTGGCGCGCCGCTGCGGGCATCCTCCAGGCAGGTGACACACGTCACAAGGTAGGACGTGCATGAATCGTCAAGAGCACATACTTTGCCCAGCAGTCAGGGTTAGGATCGTGTTTGTCGTAGGGCCCTTGATGGGCCATTGCTCAATCGGACTTTCTAGCAGCAAAACGGAATAGATAGCTTCCAATAATACATGCATGCGGGACTCCAATGAAGTTAGACAGGATTGGAGTTGTAATTCTTCACCTCCGTGGAAAGCTGTTTGAGAAAATTTAAGTCCTTGAGCATTTTCGCATGGCCAAAGCTGAGATACGCCTGCAATCTTCTCCCAGGCTCAGAGCGCCAGGGCAGCGAGCGCAGCGAGCGCAGCCAGGCTGAAGCCGCCGCGCCGCATGTGGAGCTGCAAGCCGCGAGGGGTGAACAGGAGGCGGGTGGCGGGGTGGAGATCAGGCAACTTGGTTTTGAGTCTCTGAGTTGGAACCTGGGATCTCCACATTCCTGGTTGATAAATACGGGGTGGGGAGCAGCGGTTGTCAACCAATTATCGATCTGACTGTTTCCAGAGGTTGTCACAATCAGGAGCATCAGTCATTTGCCCGCAGCCTGGCCAAAATTGCGCTCTGAGAAATCTGAGAAAACTGACCACCTTTCAAAGGAGAGCAACTGGGTTTGTTTGTGGCCTCCCATCAGGATGCTCATCAGGTACCGATTGTTCTACCCTTTTAGAGTCTTTGTGGCAGCCTTTCAGCATGTCCAGCAGAGAGGAGGAGGAGCTGCTGGTGGCTGCGGAGCGTGAGGACCTGGAGCTGTCGCAGCAGCTTTTGGAAGGCCACGAGCCACCCATCAAGCTGGAGCAGGACTCGAGGGCGCGCCGGATTTGGATCAGATTTGAACCTTTGCTTTTTGGCAGCTCAGTACCTGGGAGGATCGTGACGGATCGTGCCCGTGGACTCTTATCCCAGTTGAATTCGAAGTGAACCGCAATGAGCAATGTTCCGTGCAGCGCTTGCTTTGCCGCGGAACGTGGCCGCAGAACCCAAAGTATAAAGTGAAGCAAAGGGGTACAAAGTTTACAAATGCAACTGGGCACTAGTTTTTAGAGATTCATTATGTGGAATCAGTGTTCCGCCAGGACGAGCGGTTCCAAGTGCCCCATTACGGCAGACTTGATGCTGTTCGAACATCGCTTGGAGCATGTGGTGAGCCATTTGTTGGAAAGCGAGGTTTTGTTGCCATGGGGCATCTCATTGAGAGACGTAGCATGACTCGACCTCGGCCATCGTTTGGCTGGGCCATGCAGGCCAATGAGGCTGCTTGAGTTGAATCATTTCAATTGCGTCAAGTTTGTTGTGAGCGCTCCAGGCAGGAGGTTTGCGGCTTGCGGGCGGGTGCGCTCATGGCAGGACCCATCGAGTCCGATCATAGACGTCATCGACCTTAGCGACAGCCTGCAGAGTGAGAGTTTTGAGACGGAGCCGGCAGAGGACACCCAGGCGAGTCAGGACCGGTTGCTGGGAGACAAGCCGAGGCTGGCGTCCAGGACAGCCAGGTACCTCATGGCCAAACACTGCGGCCGCCCTAGCGCCAACGACCTGCAAGTAGACCTGGAGGTGGCGGAGAACCTGTCACCTGAGGAGCTGCATGACATGATCCTGGACATCCTCCGAGACATCCCAGACCAGGTTTGGAAGACACCGTCGCGGCGAAACGTTTTGCGGGCTGGCGAGGCATTCAGTTTTCAGATGCCCCTGGGCCTCGTGACAAGCGCGGCTTTTTTCAAAACGCCGCAGATAGGCCTGAAGACGTGGCAGTTCATAGGGCTAACCAAGCTCATTCTGCTCTACTTGAAGAAGTTGGCAGCGAGACAGGGGGTCGAGCTGCCCCCCGGTACCACGCTGCAGGTCACCAAAAACCTGCAGACCAAGGAGCACAAAGACAAAAACAACGGTGGCCCATCGGCCATCACAGGTTTCGGCGATTGGAAGGGCGGTCAGACCTGGATTGCAGACCCCACTGGCGACGACGTAATTGCGCTGTCAGAAGACGTTGCTGGCATTGGTGCTGCTGGAAAGATGCTGCTCGGCCGCAATGAGCAGATCCGGGGCAGGCTGGTGCTGTTCGATGGCAAAGCCAGCGTCCACTGCACGCAGCCCTTTGTGGGGGAGCGCTACGCTGTGGTCCTATTCAGCCTTGGCCCCGGGTGCATCAGCGAGGCCGTTGCAATTGCATGCGTGCATTTCACGAGATCGTTCGTTTGTGTGTGTATGATCAAATTCAAAAGGTCTAACAGTAGAAACCCGACAACCTGTTCAGATGCCGCCGCTGAACCACGCCTGCTTGGCTGAGCTGGGTTTCAACCCCCCGAAGCCTTCGAAGGAGGTGCCCCAGCACCTTCGGCGTTTGGCGGAGCAGGCGGCCAGGGGGGAGAAGATTTCGTACCACCAGCGCCCTCCCCCCGTGCCCCGTGGAGTGAAGAGATCGGCGCCGGACAAGGAGGAGTAGTAGTGCACGAATTCGAGGCTGAGGGCCTGAGGCTTGGTGGCCTTAATTTGGGGCATGGATGCGGGGAATCTGTTAAAACAACAAGCGCATCCATAGGATGCTTGCCTGGGCAGAGCGCGGAGCGCGGCTTCCACGCGCTTGTTTTTCAGAGGTGGCTTTCCTGCGCAGGGTGCCATGGCAGGAGCCAGGTGTTAACCCCGGTGGTGCTGCGAGCTCCCTGGGCTTTCACGTAGCACGCCAGTGCAAAAATGGATTCGCCAGAGCTTTATCATCCAGACTGCCTTGCCATAAGTCACAAGGCACAGGCTGCTAATGCCTTTTGGTAAGTAGAACCCTGAAAACCAGCCAGTTGCCTGAGTGCTTGAGCTTGAGCGGCTTCCGCCATCAAGCAACCTTGCGTGCGAAATCATTTCAATGGCGCGCTCGCTACCCTCCCCCATCTCAGAAGGAAGGGGCATCCAGAACTTGGGGCCAAACCTAGTCACGCCCGCATGCCGCAGGCGAGCGCGTGGCCCACAGTATCTCCCCACGGCGCCTGTCGGTGCCGCCCATGTCGGAAGATCGCAGGAGGCGATTGGACAACCGTCGGCTGGACCGTTCTCGCTTGTTTGGTCATGAGGTGTGTGATTGTTTTGCTTTTGTTTCTCGCTGCCTCGCGACTTGCTTGACCCTGGCGTTCAATGTCATGTTTGGTTGGCGTCCTGGATGTCAGCAGTTGTCAGTGCCCACACTAAGTGGGTATGTGAAGCTTGTTCAGTTTTGAATGCTCGGTTGTAACCTGCCTTCTCGAATGTGTCCAAATGAAGCTTCTTCAGCTGCATGTCGGACATTGTGCTTGGGCAATGCCAATGCCCACTTTTTCACGCTACAAGCCAGGATGGTTGAGCAAACACTGCGCCGGCTTTGGTTCCAGATCTTGGCTCATCAAAGTGCCGAATGCTTCAATGACCGCACAAACCGGCAGGCCTCGGACTTCAGAGTGCCCATGAGTGCCCTCAATCTGTGTATCTCAGTCAGCTAACTGAAATCTTCTTTGGAACTTGTGCTTTGTCCATCCCGCTCCCGGGGATTGCCCAGGCCCTAAGCTGTGTCACTGTTGGGTGCCTGGAATGCAAGCGGGAAAGGGTACTTGGCCTGCCTAAGCATACTGGGTTGTTCTATGAGGGGGCGTCTCTTGCATGTGCCCTGCAGGACTTGCAAGTTATGTCATGAACTAATGTCAGGAACTGTCTTTTGCTTATTTCATTTTACGAGGGGACGTAGACGAAACGAGTGGACATTATTCTTGAAGGTTCGAGGCTGTACTGGGGTCAAGCCAGCCGGAGTTTGGTAGGTGCGTGCGCCAGCTGAACATCATCAAGGAGGCCTTGAGGAAATGGCCCTCAGAGGCTACTGCGACTCAGCCGGACTTGAGCTCATGAGAGTGTCCGAATTTGGAAACCAACCTTTTTGTGGATGGAAGCTACGATGGAAACCGCCAGGAACTCGCAAAGGGGGACTGCATTGTGGGACCGACGTTGGAACATAGGCTTTGGCTACGTACGAGTTGGGAGTCACTACAGAAAGGCCCCAAGGCGACCTCAATTTGGTGCCAACGATCCCAATAATTGTCCCAACGGTAGCAGGAAACAATCCTAGTGTGTCCTCGTTCAACTGGGCCCGCTTTTTCCCTGCGTTCCAGAGGCCCGCTAGCGGCGCTAGCGTTGTGGGACAACTCGCGTGATGGATTGGTTGGGCTCCTCTTGAAGGGGTGCAACGCGGAACCCAGGAGCTGGCCTTGCGGGAGGCCATGGACTTTGTGCAGCGCTCTTCCGCCCTGAAGCCGGGGGACAAGTGGACTGCCCAGGACCGGGGTCAAGCCATGGGAGTGGGGAAGACCACCAGTCTTTCTATCGGTTTTAGTTGACGCCGTGACTCCTCATTGTCAGGGTGCCTATCTGGCTCGTGCCCAAGAGTAAGGGAGTAAGGGTGAGAGGGAGGGAAACCTGGGTCAAGTCACGGGTCCACAGCCGTGGCCTCTCCGAATTCCTTCCGAGGAGGTCCGGTGCTTTGGCCTCCGTGTGCTGGCAACCCACGGCCTGGAACCCGTGGACTGGTCGCCAGGCGAGGGGCCCCGGTCGGAGCCTTTTCACAAGGATGGGAACATGGGAAGATGTTAGATGCACTTTGGGACTTGGAGAAGCTTTGTTCAAGTGTGCGCGCTGAGCGCGCAACACGCACTTCATCGTTGATTCCTTGGTTGGCAGTTCACGCACAGGCGAGGCACTTCTCCTTTGTGAGGCTGATATGGTCGGCGCTAGCATCTTTGTTTCGCCGCTGGTTTCGCAGTCCTCCAGTGTCACAGAACAGGACTGGGTCGCTTTTCGTTCCAAATGCAGTCCAAGAGTTGGGCAATATGGGGTTGATTGCGTACCATATCGCATCCGAGGGCAGCTTTGGCCAGCTGAGGGCTCGGTTGGGGGGCGGGGGGGTGAACCTGCGGAGGCCAATGGCTTGGCATGCTGAGGGAGAACGGCGAGGCCGACTGCTATGCTGACTGTGCTGAGCTGATTCCTACACCCCAAGCAAGTAATGTATGCAAGCCCCCGCTCCCCGTAATAAGGCGCATTGGGGAGGGGTGCCCAACTTGTCCAACTTCAATGTTATTCGGTTGATCTCCTACCAACCTTTTTGGCGCAAGTGTCTCAACACCACACAGGCCTCCACCCACATGTGGTTTGGTTCATGAGCCCGTCTCTTGCCCTCGCTGCTCAGGATGCTGCGCTCACTGAGCAGCCTGGCAGTGGTGGCCCCAGCTGACATTACCCTGAAAGTGGTACTCCTCCCATAACGCTGATGAAGTGAGTGGGCTTCAAGTCTGCCCAAAGAGGCAACCAAACTCCTCAGCAGGCATAAGCCGCACCACCACCAACCAGTGTTCCACTCTTGCATCACCTCAAGGTAGACACTCAACCCAGGAGAGTCCCTTTCTGGGGAGAATCAAAAAACCCCACCTTGTCGTCCTCAAAAGAACCCAACCGCACCATGGCAACCGGACCGAGGGGAAGAGGCAGCGAGGTTGGGGAGGGTCGCCTTGCAGCACCTAGCGGCGCAGTTGGAGCAGCAGATGGAGGCCCGACCCAAGGCGCGGAAAGAGAAAATCTTGGTTGATGTTCTTGGCTGGTACTTGAAAGGGACTCCGACCCAAGCAGTTGGTTGCGGCTTTGTCCGGGCCCGCTTCTCTTCACAGCACATTCTTAAAAGCATTCTTTTAGAAGTAGGCCCAGAAAAAGCATTCTCAAGGGCATGGGCACGATCATAGTTGATTGAATGTTTGTTTGGACACCATCGGGCTGCGCTAGGGTTTCTGCCTTTGGGCCCCTGCCAGGCATAGAAGAGGATCCGCCGAAAAGATTTTCAAACAGGTGTTTGTTTCACTGTTATCATGTTCAATGTAAATCATCATGCAGTTTAATTGAATCTCCCCCTGCGCATTTTGCTGAGCTTATGAAAACAAAGTAACGCAGCTATTTCAAACCTCGGATTTTAGAGGTCCCGTCGGAGGCGTCCCGCAGGTCCCGCAGGTGCGGCGCAGCCTGCCCTCAGAGAGCACGGGCTCAGGCCTGGTGTCCCCCAGCGGCTTGGCTTAGGTCGGGTACTCCGTTTGGGTGTCCGGTCCAACTTTTTATTGGCTCCAACCCTGTCCACCTCTGACCCCCTTTTATTGATTGTGAGGTTCCCTTGTCTCACTAAATCCAAATAGCAATCACCGTTCCATTTATCTTGCGAATTTTCGAAACGCTCCTCTCTGGAACGCCGCCACTGATCACTGATACCCTCTGATGAAACAGCTTGTTGGCACGCAGGCCGGGTGTGTCTTTGAGGGCGCCTAAACCTAAGAGAGAATTCATGTCAGCTTCTATTCCATTCACTATCATTCACTGGGCCTTAAGGCCACGGCCACCTGTGCGAACGGAATTTAGAGGTCCGAACGGACACGCGACAATCGCATGAACAGTCGCAACCTCGGGGCCGCTCGGGGCTCAGCTGCATGTCAAGCCCAAGGTGTTTGCTTGGACCTGCGCTGAGGCCACGTCACATGCACAAGGTGTTGCCCACCATGGAAGCTGTTCCAAGTCTGTGTCCCTGAAGTGCACTCAAACACACATGACGGATGAGTGACACGTGAGTGGGTCATGCTCGGCGGCCGGTGATGTTGCACCAGGCCTGGCTGCGATACACAGCATCCCTTCGGCCATTTGACCTTATGGCGCCGATCGGGTTGTCTATGAAACATCACCCCAGGTCAACTCCTCCAAAGTTTTAGATTCACAGGGGGGACTTGGATAGATC